CGCGAATACAGGTGCAGGGTGCAGGGTGGTCAGTTGTGGCTAGCCTGACCAACCACAACAGCAATAATCCAACGCGATGCGCCATTTCTAGTCACCATGGGACTCTTTTGCCCGCGTGATTTGATTTGCCGACTAAATTATCTTTCGTGTCCACCATCTTACCAGGTGGCTGATTCACGCCGCGCACTTTCGTTGTTATACTGTACCGCATGCACGCGTGCGGGCGGGTTTGCCTAGGCTCGCAACGCACGGCTCCTTATGGCCCCGTGCGGGTAGCAGGCAACCCGCCCGCACTTGAGAATACGGTACAGTAAACTACGAAAGTGCGCAGCGTGAATCAGCCACCTGGTATGTTCTGCCGTCCTAGCTCCCCCGCGATTCAGTTTTCCACCCCGTTTCTCGCCCCTATCTCTCACATTCACATCTCGACTTTTCTCAAGATCCTGGCGGGGCTGTAACCTTTACACTGGCGTACATCTCTGAATTAAAACTTCCTTTTCTTGCTGCCGCCCGCCTTTCTTCGGTGGAATGGTCACCATTTTCCTCTTTACACTATCGCCCTACGAAGTCGAAGGATGAGCTCTCTACGACGGCCATGTTTCGTAAAGCCGGAGTCCATCCCAGGGTGAGCAAATTCACAACTCTCCTCAAGGGGTTTGACAGTGTTTCGGCTATGGTGGGTAGCGATTCGGACGAAAGTCCGACAAAGGAAGCGCCCTGGAGTGGGGAAGCAGCTGCCCGAAACCCAATACCCTTGCCGAAAGGGAGGCCCTGCTGCGTGCGCTCTGACAACCAGCCTCTGTCGTATCCGAGGAAGACGCAGTGACACAGCCGCGCGCAAGGGCCCAAAAAGAACTACCTGTGACGTCGGCGCCGTTCGTCACGATCGCTTTCCTACGCATTATCCCCCCTCTAAGATTTCGACCGCGAATACCACCACTGCCGCCATAAAGAACTCTCCACACCAAAAACTGAATCGAAATATCGCTGTGTGTTGAGCTAGCTAGTGGGTAGGTACGCCGGAGGTGGCTACCATCTGTGACCCAGCCTAGAATGATATAGGACCGCGATTAAAAAGCGCGGAAGCAAGCCCCCCGACTGGGCAGTATGCCGCCGCTCTCATCATGGCGTTGATCCTTTCCAAGGTGTAGATAAACCGAGGCACCGCCAGCGCTTCGAGCACCCTCAACTTTGACAGACTCCTCTTACTCCTCTCACGATTCGCTCTGGGACCAGCCGTTGCATCTCCCCGCGGGTAAATCGTAAAGTGACGCGGTCCCGTTTGGAAGCCCTGATCTCCCCGGCGCACGACGGCCGGCGGCAGCGGCGGCGGCATGACGCGGCTCGACTTGGCAACGCTGTCCGGGGGCGAGGCGAGGGGGTGAGGAAGGCAACTGCCGCACCGCACCGCGCCTCCCTCACCAACCACGTCCCTCCCGCCGGCCCGCCCTCGACCAACGCAGCGCGGCGCCGCGCGGGGGACCCGGGCTCCGCTCTGCTCGTTGGCTGAGCCGTGGTTCCCCGACCGGCCGCGCAGCAGCGCTGCCCGACGCGCAGCGCGCAGTCCTCGCGACCGCCATGACACCACAGGCCGGGCGTTCAAAGAGCCATGTTCAAAACGGGCGTTCCGGCGGTCGTAGAGGGGTGGACGGGGCGTCAGAGGAAAGCTGACAGTTTCGCCGTCAGAATGACACCCGACTCTCCGCACGGGAGGCACGGGGAGAGGCGCGAGAGAGGTAAAATGGATGGCCCCTGGAGTGCAGAACACCGACGGACTGCTATACTGAAAATCTATTTTTCTCAGAATGTTGAACCGGAGCCCAGTCGGAGACGTCCGTTTCCGACTGACGACATACTGAGGAAGCTGAAAATGCAAGTCTTATCCTTCTAAGAGAACAATTTTCAAAATTCTGGCACGGCATCATATTGTGAACAGTGTACAAAATTGAGGTTTAATTGCTAATTTAGAGAATCGGGGACCACTTAAGGCTGTTACTTGAGGGGGAATCTAGTTTCTTTTCAAAGCTAGTGGCCATTCTGTGATTCAGTCAGGGAAGAAAGATGTCGTCTAGGAAAGCCGAAGCGGGTTTTCAGCTCTAACCACGTAGGCTTCGCGTCTCATTCACCGGGATCAGCGGACGAGGTACCCCTCTTCTTCTCCACCTCGCTGGTAAATTTTAAGCGCTTGATATCCTAGTGGATTGACCATTCACCGTCAATATTTATCAATTTCATTTCATACCGAATTAATGCTCTCTAACAATTCTCTGTGCCACGGCGAGTTCGGAAATATTGAGCAAGAAGCGCATGCGTGTTACTTCAGCGATTGTAGTATTGCACATGGCTATGACCGGAAGAAAGTAGAAGTAGATCTGGATCGGTGGGAGGCGATAAGGAGAGGGTGGGAGGGGAAGTGCAGTATGGTGCGAGGAGAGGAGGAGGAGGAGGAGGAGGAGGAGGAGGAGGGGCAGAAGGAGGAGGAGGAGGAGGAGGAATGAGGGGGAGACGGGTGAAGGGGAGGACGAAGAGGGAGAGGAGGAGGGGGGAGGAAGAGGAGGAGGGGGAGATGGGTGAAGGGGAGAACGAAGAGGGAGGCGAGGAGGATGGGAGGGACAGGAGAGGAGGGGAGAAAGAGGATGAGGAGGAGGAGGAGGAGGAGGAAGGAGGGGGAGGCGGGTAAAGGGGAGGACGAAGAGGGAGAGGAGGAGGGGGGAGAGGAGGATGAGAGGGACGCGCAAGAGGGGGAGGAGGGGAGAAAGAGGAGACGTGGGGTGGACGAGCGGAGAGGAAGGGAGGAAGACGGTGGGTGGGACCAGGAGGAAGGCGGGCCCGCGCCAGCCAATGGCGCTCGTAGAGGCAGCAGCCTGGGTGCCGCCTCCCGCTCGCCGCCCGGCCTTGTCTGACTCGCTCAGCTCACTGCTCGGCAGAGAAACTACTCCATTAAGGATTGGTCGTGAATTAGATTTATTCTCACAGTAGGGGTGGTGGCTGTGGGGCCGACGATCCTTGAAGCCGAGCTAGGAGGAGGCTGGGTCCGGAGCTGTTCTAGAGACTGTTTGCGACTTGCGGCTGGTGGAGGAGAAACAGGAGGGGGCAGCAAATGGAAGGTAAGGTCCCCCCATCGCCCCTTTCACGTCCCAGGTGTTTCAGAGGGGACACCGCCGTGTTGCGTGTTTGCTGACTCTCTTTGCCCGTAACGAGCCCGTAAGGCGCCACAGCCCCTGCGACTCTCTAGCGAGGACGCAATCCTGCCGCTTTTGCCGTGCCGTTCTGAAATACCCACGGTACGTCCCGGCGTCCAATGAATCGGGCGCGGCCTGCCTCGGCGTTTACTGACGCTGTCTAAACATTCGTATGGGTTCGGTACGATACGGGGGCCATCATCTTCTTTTCTTGGCGGCCCATAACGATCACTCGACTCTGGCCAGGAATGGGATGGCGTGGGTAATGACTATGTACAATACGAAGCAGGAGCGACCATTTTTTAAATAAATAGATGACCGGGGAAAATACAGGGTGACTGTTTTGAATCGCGTGCCTTTGATTTCTGGTTAGGCTGTACCGCATGCAGGCGTGCGGACGGGCTTGCCTACCGACTCGCCCCACGGCGTCTTCTGGCTCCGTGCCATGCGAGTATGCGACCCGCCCGCAAGTCTGCATGCGGTACAGCCTAACCAGAAATCAAAGGCGCGGACTGGAACACGTATACCCTGCAGTATACTTGAGAGCGACCATTACAAAAGGAAAGAAAGGCCGCGTCGCCGCGTGCACGAGCCCGCGCGCCGCACTGCGGCGGTGCGAGACTGATGCCCCGCAAAGGCCTTGGGCGTTTCGTCACACGGTGTGCGTGACACGAGAGTGCTCCGCCGTCCCGCGTGGTCCCGCGCCGCTACCTCGCGGTCTCGCGCAAGGCTAGCGATCGTCCACGGCCCGCTCGGGGTACGCGGCCCGGCCTGGCTCAGCTTACTCGGGCCGAGGTACGTCGGCGCGGAGGTGAGCCAGCGGCACAGCAGCGCCAGCAGAGCAGTCAGCGAGGCGAGGCGGCCGAGGCCGACAGCCGACGGGCGTGTTTCTCAGACCCACAATCAGTGTTGTTAGACGTACGACCTTGGTCATACTTGTACGACCTTTTCGCCTCTTGTACGACCCAAAATTCGGTAAGAAGGTCGTACGAAAAAGTACGACCTTTTCAATAAAAGTACGACCTTTACACAAAATACCGCAAATATCTCGAAATGGCCTCAAATGTATGGCGTTTTTCAACTTGGAGGTTGGCAGTGCCGGCTTATCTCCCCCACCCCACTACCACTCCGTCCCGTCCTGCGTTTCACGAAGTTAACGTTTGTGCTGATAGAGGCCGCTGTTACTGTGAAAGTGATTGCAATTGAAATTCGTTTACGCGTTCAATTTAAAACGCTAGGTGAGTGTCCAGTGAGTGTTCACCTGTCTGATTAAATAAAAGTTATTATGGGTAAGGACGACGGCATCAACTTAATGTTTAACGGCTGTAAGAAGAGTTCGGGTGGGGTTATGTGTCCGTTGTTCAAGTCGTCGTCCTTTAGCTATGACTTGTTTTCAATATTAATTTTCCTATTAGGATGGGGGAGACAAGCGACGAGGAAAATGACGGTGATCAAACGCCTCCTCGCAATGCCAAAAAGGCGAAAACAACTCACAGGCCGCAAAACTTTAGGCCAGCATGGAAAACTAATACCAAGAAGTTTGGCCCAAACGTAGGTCTATGGTTGGCACCACACGAAACAAAGACTATGGCAAGGTGCAGATGGTGCAACAGCAGCTTCGTTGCAAACGTCACGTCCATCAAAAAGCACTTCGAAACGGACACTCATTCAGCTCAGGAAGCCGCAAGGAAATCTAACTCAACCATCACAAATTTTGTGAGGACCGGAGCAGATGCACAGCCCGATTTGAAGCACAAGAAGGCGGTCAGTCGAGCCGAAATATTGCTTGCGGGAAGTTTTGCGGCTCACAATATTCCAATGCTTTTTATGGACCACCTGACCCCTGTCCTCAAGTCAGCTTTTCCTGACTCAGCAATCTGTAAGGGTGTCGAGATGAAACGCCTCAAAACCACCCGAGTCATCACCAACGTCATCGCTGCAACACACAAGGAGGATTTGTCTGCGACCCTGAAAAATGTTAAATTTTCCGTGCTGACGGACGAGAGCACGCATTTCAATGTCAAAACAGCAGCGGTAGCTGTGCGTTTCCACGACAGGGCTGCTGGCCGTATTGTCACCAAGTGAGTAAGAAATGGTCAGGTTAATCAAATGCAATACAAAAAATTCTAACTTGCATATTTTTGTTTTGTAGATTTTGGGACCTATCAGACGTCTTTCCCAAGGGTGACTTCGAGGCTGCCCGTGAGGGCGCAAGTGCAGACCGCCTTTTTCAACTACTCATGAATGCATTTGAGAAATGGGACATCCCTACTGAGAATTTCATTGGGTTCGCTTCGGATGGTGCAAGTGTGATGCTGGGTGTTAATAGCTCCGTCATGACACGTCTGCAGGAGCGCTGCCCTGGTAAGTCGTGCTCTAGGTGCACTCGGACGAGGGGAAGGTCCGCATCGCGGACAGCAGCGGAGTGAAAACTTACCCCCCCCCCCTCTAATCTCGCTCTGTTTGCACAGGTATTGTTATAATGCGATGCATCTGCCACTCTTTGCATCTCGCGGCGAGGGAAGCGGTCAAAGTGTTGCCAAAAGGACTTGAGGATATGGCTCGCAACATCTACAGCTTCTTCAAGCACAGTTCCAAGCGGGTCGCCCAGTTCGCCGAGTTCCAGCTGTTCTTGGAAGTGGCCGAGCATAAAATGCTCAGTATGTCTGTGACAAGGTGGCTGTGCTTGCGGGAGAACGTGGACCGTATCCTTGAGCAATGGGATGCCCTGCGTCTATACTTGACACAGCACAGACTGGACGACAACACCCACGGCACGGAGATGCTCTTCGCGTGGCTTAATGACCCTATCATGAAGGCTTACTACTACTTCTTGGCATGGGTGCTCCCTAAGATAAGCACAATGAATGCCTACTTTCAGCATAATAAAGTAGTGGTTACTTCCCTCCATGAAAAGATGGCCGAGGGGTTTAAAGAACTTCTCCAAAGTTACATGAAACCTACCTATTTAGCCAGGTAAATAGAGGTAGTCTCGGTAGCCAGCCGCCTTGTTTTATTTCCAGCATTATCAGGATCTAATCATTTTTTATTCCTCACAGGACTCCACTGATCGAGCTAAACCCTACCCAGAGGGACATGTTCTCCCCCATTGCTAATCTTTATGTGGGCGTGCAAGTCGCTGAGCAGCTGAAACACAACGACATCACGGAAGAGAAGCGGGAGGCGTTCAGGATTCGCTGCAGGGACTACATGATCACGTTGTGCAACGGGATCAAGTCCAGATTCGACTTCGGGGATCCTCTTCTACTGGCCCTTCCTGTCCTCAAGCCAAAGATAGCAACAAATTTTCAGGCCCGCCCGTTCACCAACTCCATTGTGCCTTTCGCAAACCTGGTGCCCCGCGCAAAGCCATCCGACCCAAAGAAATTGCAAGAACTTGACGACCAGTGGAGGCGCCTACCCCTCGACGACGACGTCAAGGACCTTCTAGGGGAGGAGGAAATCGATGTGTTTTGGCACAAGGTAACGTCGGGTCGTCTTTCAGGGAGCAGGACAGAAGTTAAAATTGCCAATCATTTATTTAAAATAATTCCTTTCTCATTTGTTTAGGTGGGGCAGCTAACCGACTGTGAGGGTTCACCAAAATATGCCATACTGTCTGACTTTGCCATGGCTGTGTTAAGTTTGCCTCATTCGAATGCGGACGTTGAGAGAATTTTCAGCAAGGTCACTTTGACCAGGACTAAAATGAGGAACAGGCTCATTACTCCCACTGTAGAGGGCCTCTGCTTGGCATCTGAACATGTTAAGTCAACACCTCAGTGCTGCCAGTCGTTTGAACCGACAGATAAAATGTTCAACTGTATGACGTCTGAAACTTTATACGGCAGTAAAAAAGCTGGTACGAAATGCGTCTGAATTTGCGTTCGTTAACGTCTCGTTGCCATGTAAGTGCTCATTATGTAACCCTTTTTAGGTGACGCCACTGCAGAGCGCGAGGGAGCGCCCAACGGCCGCGAGGAGAGAGGAGAGGGAGAGGCTGACGACCCGCATCCGAATGATGACCACTATTGGGAAATAACTGAGACATTCTTTGACTGAAAACACTGAAACCCAGATAAAATTAATGATTCATGTTACTATGATTAAGAGGATACTTCTCTAGTCAAATAATTATATATTTTTTTACCGCAAACTATCTGAATTCCCTTCTTTGAACGGCGCACTCATTCCAATTCATTCAAATACACCGCCAGACTCATCTGGTCGTGGTACGCCGCCCGACTAGTAGATGGCAGCACAGAACAGTCCACGTTGGGCACCCATCAGACACAAAACAAAATTAATCACCAACTAAAACTGACTTGTTTGCTACAGAATAACACATTTTTATGTGTTTATAATAATTTTAGTGTATTTTGGGATTTTTCCTAAAAATACGACCTTTTTAGGTGTTGGTACGACCTTTTCCCGAGGTTGGTACGTCCTTCCACTCTCAGCCGTCTAACAACCCTGCCCACAATCGCACCGGGCCGTGACGAGCACAGCCAGCTCGGGCTTCGAGCTGCGTGCGCGGCGCGGTGCGGCACGCTGCGGCGCGGCGGCGGGGCCGCGACGCGGTGCAGCACGGCAACACGACACGCAACCGGCTCGGCTCGGCCCGGGATGGGCAGCGCACGTCGGCTCGGCTCGTATCGATTGAGATGGGGGTGGGGAGGGAGGGTGAGCACTGTGAGCTGCGCGGGGCGGCGCGGGCAGGGTGAGCGCGGTGAGCACAGCCGGTGGTGAGCAGCATGCCGGTGCTGGGTGTGGCAGGCCGGGCAGGATGGGAGGGTCCTGATCCCCTCACATAATTTATCGTCCGGAGGGGAGGGACAGTCAGCCCGCCCAGCGCGGCTCGGCGAGTAGGGCTGTCAAAGCAGCTGTGCGCCTTGAAGGAAGGGTGAGCGACAGGGAGGGCTGTACTGTGCTGTGTGTTCCTTCATTGAGGGTGCACGGGGTAAGGGCAAAACTGCGTCTCATCATTTTCAAGTCGACCTGTTCAAATAAAAGACAAATTTGGTTTCATTGTGTCCCTCATTTTTGCCCTTTCTAGGCGCATCGTACATGAAAGAAAAATAATAATTACATCATACATTTTTCTAAGTACTATTTCGTTGTGCGCTACTACCCTGCTCTAAACAATATCAGAGCTAGCAATAGATTAGAGGTAAACACATCTGTTCATGCGTAATTTCAAAGCTTCCCGCGCTTTCCAGCCGCGCAATTTCTCATAGTCACAGGCACTTTTGCCAGTAAAATAGTACAAAAACTTTAGAAACATTTCTTTGATTATTCAAACGATTTAGCCGACACGTGTATAATAAAAAGTGGTTTTCTAAACGTAAGTGTGTACAAATTTGATCAGACGAAAGTATTGATTTGAGTTCGAACACACTCGATCAAATCAGAAAACTAAATGTTGGTAAGAGTGTACACCTGCAAATAACCACATACAACGTGCAAATAACGTAGTTGCCTTATTTACCAATCGAAACGGACATCTGCAGACTGCATGTAAACAACTTTATCACACGTGTTCATCAAGTTAAAGTACCTTTTTCTGAAACATTTAGCTGTAGTATATATAATACACATCCATCTCACAATGAGAAAATTATCAGAAGAAAGAACAAAGCTTCTCTTTGAGAAGTTATCACTTTAGTAAGTCTAACTTTTTCCTCAAATATTAACTTAACCTCACATGCCGACAAGCGTTTCGTTATTATTCTATTTAATGTTTGCTATTTTTGTCTAAGTTCTACCAGGAATGTTTCGTTATGCGTATCATTTTCTATTTATATTGTAGTGCTTATGTTGCTTTCTAAGTGCATTCCGCAGTACTAAATACTGTCCTCCCGTTATTGCAACGATTGTGTATTAATATGTAGCTTCTCTTATCTTTGCAGTATTGGAGGAAATGTTAAAATGCTGATAGATAGGCCCGATGGCTTATATTGTTTTAGAGAAAAGAAAGAAAGAGTATACTATGTATCAGAAAAAATATTGTCGCTGGCTGAAAGTGTTTCTCCAGACAATATGATCAGCCTTGGGATATGCTTCGGAAAGTTCACCAAAAGTAACAAATTTCTACTTCACATCACAGCACTGACATATTTAGCCCCATATGCCCAAGTAAGTTACTTATTTTATTGTCCGGATCTGTTTTTAACTATTTACTGTTTAAACAGAGAACCAAATTATGCTAACATTTCAATACTTGCAGTTTAAAATATGGGTGAAACCATCGATGGAGCAGCAATTTTTGTATGGTCATCATGTTCTGAAGTCAGGTCTTGGAAGAATAACAGAAAATACTCCCAAATACCAAGGTGTTGTTGTTTTATCAATGGCAGATGTTCCTTTGGTGAGTTGACATATTCAACTTAGTAAATTGAAAGTGACTATAGACATCTTTAAATATTGTTTTTTTGCCCACAGGGATTTGGCAAAGCAGCAAAGTCTACAGCAGAGTGCAAACATGCAGATCCTCTAACAATTGTATGTTTCCATGAGGCTGATATAGGAGAATATGTACGCTCAGAAGAAACTCTACTTTAATTTTGACAATTTCCATTTATTAATAAAGTAATATTAAGATTCCTGTTAAAAGATGCCTATTAATTTATCCCCCTCAGTTCCACAGTTTTGAACAAAGAAACATTAACTATGAAACCAATTGACTATTTGTTTATTTGTACACAAAGCAAAGTATTAACACAGACTCCATTCCCAAACTTCATTCTACATTTGTAACAAAGATAACTGTCTATCAACGGCCTTGGTTGCCCAACTGTTCCGTTTCATACTTCTCCTTTTGCATGTCTTGTGCAGACCACTTATTGACAGGAAGGTAGTAGTATTTTTGGTAATCTCCCCTTGATTGGATTAGAGCTGTAATCTCTTTGTCGATCCTCCTGCAGAACAGAAAAGATTATAATTAAGCATGTGTGATGGCAGGTTATAGTTTAAAGACTTCTTCACAAATACCTGAACTCTGAAGCATCATACTCAGCCCATAGGATATGCATGTGTTTCTCATAGGCCTCCTGTTCTGATTCCATAAAGCTAGCAAAGAATCTGGTAATTGGATGCTGCAAAAGTGAAATTATGATAAGAAACTTAAAGTCTACATAGGACTCGAGTAATATTTAAGTAGCTTCCAAAAAAGAGATGGAAATATAACTACACAAGACTTTGCAGAAATTTAGATTTGATCATTCAATCAATGACAAATTACACGGTAAAGATGAGGAGTAGGAACACAACAAAATTATTGGCCTAAGGCCAATAGCTCAAAAAGAATGAACTCTTATTATGCTCGTGGCTGAGCTCCTCTTAACAGAGAAGTTCTCCACATAGATATCGTACTTACACGATGGTATTCATATTCTTTCGGTGTGTATCCTTCAGGAATTGGTGCAAGTTGGGCAGGACCAATAAAAACGTTGCAGTATGTAGAAATTAGACCCAGAGGAATCATACCAATCAAAACGTACATATGCACCATATCCTTGAACTTATTCCATTGCCAACGAGTGGGTTGAATTATGAATTTGTTGTGGTCACCACCCGACATTTGACGAACTGCAATAACAATTAATAAACAAGAGGTAAATCACGAAAAAAAAATCTTAATAATTTGAAACCAAAAACCAGAGCGAAATAAATATGTCTAAAAGTAAAATGACTGGAGAAAATAATTCTCATAGCAGGACCTCAACCTCAATCAGCTGATTTAGGTTGAGGTTAGAAGACATGCCCATCATTTGAGAGAAACATATAAGGTGCGATGTTTCCAATTGAATTCTTAATTCGACGTTTAGAAAGAGGGGCATAATGTCATATGTAAAACCCATGGTGTAAGACAAGTAAATTGAAGAGTGTGAAAAAGTATTATGAAGGATAGTGAGAGAAAATTTGATGTTGACATGTATACGAGTACAAAACTTACCTTGCTGGACATTTTTAAGAATGGCGCGGTTCAAAAGAATGTTCGACACTCCTTTTGTGCCGTGAATTGCACGGGAAAAAGTGCTCCAGACAACCATGTCTGCTTTGCTTTTACTTTGACCGTCGGCTCAAGCCAAGCCGTCGGGCGAAAATCTGACTCTACGTCACAGCCTCAGTTTTGTGACGATAGATGGCGCGAGTGGAGTCCTGGCGGCATTGATCTGTCGAACCTTTAAAGTTCTAGCCTTTAGGAACAGGATGCTTATGACTATTCCTGACTAACAAATAGAAAACGAAATTCTTGTTTGCAAATAAAAAATTAAGTAGAGATATGGTAGTTTCTATAAGAGCTCTATTTTTTTGCGCGGGAGGGAATCCAGAATGCTGTGCGCGGATAGGCCCTAGCAGCCGACGCGAAGCAAGGCGGGCAAGCCGAGACTTTGAAGGTAGTGACAGTAGACGTCCGGACTGCGCCAGGGAAGGATCTATGCGCTGCGCCGAAATATGACGCCTGTTACTTCTAGTTGTTTGTAGGGGGCCTTCGACTCGACAGGAAGGTTATTTTATTATCTTGAGCTGTCTGTCTCGACCAAGAGCCACAATGTCGGCGGCGAGCACGAACTCAAAGCTTGACGAAAAGAGCTACATTTTGGAGGGACAAGTAAGTCTGAATAGTTCAACAGGTAGTGTTTCATAGTTATTTCTAATCTAGTCAACGCTTTGGCCCATATTGGTCTTAGTGGGATTACAAAGTCTTTTTTCAAACTCTTGTAGGGAATGTTCTGTAATAATATTGCTATTTTTCATCGTAAGTAATACACCAAACGTTTTAAAGCGCCCATATGGAGCTTTAAAACAATTATATTTTTTGTTGGACGCGTTTTGCCATTGATTAGCCGTTTTTCTAAACAATCTTCGCACCAATTCCACAGGTGCGTCAATTTTTGCAAAGGCATGTCGCTATACAGCCCGATTCTTCTCCGTTTGCCCTCTGTATATAGTGTCGTGCCCGCCGCCTTTTTGGGACTTCGTATCTTATCTAACTCTCCGTGATACAAATGTAATGCTACGCTCGGCAGTACAATAAAGGGAGGCAACAATGCGGCGCTTTGATTGTCGTCCCGCACGCGCTCGGCAGGCTAGGCCGGACTAGAGAGAGACTGGGCCGGCGGGCCCGGGGCTTGATTATGTAAGAGATGCTGGGCAGGACTTCTCCTCAGGATACCGCCGGGCGGCCGGTGGATGGATGCACAATCAGTTCCAGCTGAATCCAGTTCGCGCCGGTTCGCTAAGCGCCCCTCTCGCTCGCTCGCAAGACCACCATCTCCTCCTCTCTCTCCCACCTCTATCACCAATGACCACACGATTAACATAACGCCATGGCGGCTTAAACTTCTCCCGCCGCTCGCGAGTCGGGTAGAGCTGCTCCACCCTTACGGCCCCCACCTGAGAACTCTGGCCCTGCCGCCCATATGGGCAGTCCTCCTGCCTTGTCCCCGCCCTCCCCCTGTCCGCCGCACAGTCCGCCACCTGCGGACACTTCCGCCCTTGCCGCCGCGTTCCTACCCGCCCCAAGGACACCAGCGGCCCGGCTGCGGCCACGTCCGATTCCTCTGATCCGGGCCGGGATGGGGGTGGGGGTCGTCGAGTCCACCGAGGGGATGCGGAGGAACTCTGTCCCCCAGTTCGCGGAATCTTCCGCTCGCCATTCCAGGCCGATTCCCAGCCACCTTCCAGCCATGCCTCTGGTGCTCTCGGGCCGCGCCGGCCGGGCTGCCAGCTGGCCTCCATTTGCCACCCCCTCCTCGACCTCCGGGCCGCGGGCCGCACCTGCACGTGACCCGCAGCGCAGTGCACGCCCCTCCTCCTGTGCTGCAGGCCGCGCAGCACAGCCCACCCCTCTCCCCCTCTCTGATGGCGTTGTCAACCGCCCGCTGAGTTATCGCGCCGAAAGGCGAGCGAGTACGAGCAGCAGGTGAGGCAGCTGGTCCTCCGAGTGGAGCCCCGCGGCCCCGTGCCCCTTGCACTACCGTGCAGGACCCTACCCCCCTTTTGTCCTTGTCCGGTCTGCTTGTATGACCATGGATGACACGTCTCTGTGGTCTCGCGCGCCGACGTGTTTTCGTCCATACGAGCCAAGCCGCAGCTGCTGCGCTCCACGCTCTCTTGTTGTTTTGCCTCTCTTGTAGCCGAGTCGGTTAGCTAACACGAAGCTAATTTGCACTGGGTGTAAGCCAGCTGGGGCTGCGGGGCGGGCTGGTTCGGCGCCGGAGAGCATCCGTATGGCCTGCGGCCTGTTGGAGCAAAATGTGGGGCTCAACAGTCTGGGGGGCGCAGCAGCGGGGACGGGGTGGTCGAGCCACCCCCAGCCGGGCCCCCCACAGCCCCTAC